GGAAGGGCTCCTGATCCCCAGTTCAGCCCGGGAAGGGCTCCTGATCCCCAGTTCAGCCCAGGAAGGGCTCCCGATGTTTCATTTAGCCCAGGAAGGGCTGCTGATCCCCAGTTCAGCCCAGGAAGGGCTCCTGTTCCCCAGTTCTGCCCAGGAAGGGCTCTAGCCCCTGAACCCAGCTCAGAGCGCCCTTCAGTGCCCGCTCCGAGAAAGCGCCCTCCAGTGCCTGCTCCTAGAAAGCGTCCTCCCGCCTCCGAGTCCCAGACCCCGCCTCGGCTCGTTGACCCAGCGGCTCCACCTCGGCTCCTAGCTCCCTCACCTCCACCATCGCCCGTCGATCCATCAGCTCCACCGGGCTCTCTCGTCCCTCCGGCTCCACCTTGATCGGGCGTCGGCCCGCCATCGCCTCTGACTGCACCTCGTCGCTATGTCCCACCTCCGTTGGGCTCCTTCCTCCCGCCAGCTCTGCCTTGGACCTCAGTCGCTCCGGTTCCGCCGCGGATCTCCGCCTCCGCCTTGGTCGCCAGAGCCCTCGGCTCCACCCTGGCCCCCCGGATCCTCGGCATCCCCCTGGCTCATTGGCTCTCCGTCTCCGCCTCGGGCTCTTCCACCACCTGCTATTAGGGCTGTGGCCTGGGTCCCACCTGCTCCGGTTCCCTCCTGTCGTCTCCCTGGCTCCTCCCTCCATCGTCACCTCCCTGGACTCTGTCTGCCATCCTCCTCCCGGATATCCGTCCTCTGCCGGAGCCTCCACCTGTCATGTCTGCCTGCCAGCCCTTTGCCTTCCCCTGTCACCATCCCACATCCACTCCTTAGTCCTCCTCATAAGTCCCCCTCTGTTTCCACGCCGCGAGGTCGCGCCTTCTGGGAGGGAGGCGATCTGTCACACCCCTGTGGACTGTTCATTTTGGTTTCTCCCTCTCTGTCCTTATTTGGTTGTTCCTGTTCTAGTTATTAGTTAATCACCTCATTGTGCTCATCTGTCTGCCCCTCGTTATCTGCCCTATATCTGTTCCTGTTTCTTGTATTCGAGTTTGTCGGTTATTGTGAATGTTACCCCAAGTGTGTGTGTCTCACCTACCTGAATCTGCCTTGTTGTGTCTACATTCAAGTCATTATTGGAATACTTGTTGTCCTGCCTGCCTCCACACACCGTGACCGTGACAGTACCAATGTGTAGGCAGCAATAGGCCATCTTTTCAGTGGATGCCATCTGTTCTGAATGGCATCTACGCTAATATTATTTAATTTGTGACAATGAAATTGAGCTAATATGCTTGTATTTTTTGGGTTTAGTAATCACTCCAGCTGCTGCATTTTTTACTAACTAGCTAATTTAAAGGGGTCATATGATGCGATTTAAATTTTTCCTTTCCCTTTGGAGTGTTACAAACTCTTGGTGCATAAAGAAGATCTGTAAAGTTGCAAAGACTAAAGTCTCAAATCCAAAGAGATATTCTTTATAAAAGTTAAGTCAGCCCCGTCTACCTAAAACGGCTCGTTCTAACACGCCCCCACATATCTACATCACTATGTGGGAAGATTTGCATAACGCCACCCAAATGTTCATGCAAAGAAAGAAGGCGTAACTTTTTTTCTCTCGCTGTAGTGTTGTTGTTGTTGCCGCCGCCATGTCGTGAAGGCACTGTGTGATTCGTTGTGAAAGCGAAACTACTTTGTTTGGCCTTCCAAAAGAGGACGATATCTGCTTCATCATGCCTAGAGCTGATCTGTGCTGGTTGCTGAGGAAATACTACAACTTTGTTATTATTATTATTATTATTATAACCTAATAAATATAATTATTAAACCTAATAAAAGTTTTATAGAGAGGCCCAACACAAACACTGCTTTGTGGGGGAAGTGTCCCCAAGTTTATTTATTCAAAACATGTATGTAATGCAAAGTTAGAAATGTAAAAAATGTAAATGATTTCTTTTAAAAATCACTTTTAAAAACATTGTCTCCAGTAGTAAATCGTTATTTATTGTATTTATTTATTTTCTTTCGCCAATTCAGGTGATATTTATCCTGTGAATTGAACATCCGTTCCAATCAACAAGTAGTCCTGTGGGGGTGGGGGGGAGGAAATTTAATATTATTATTATTATTATGACAACATAGTCTCTATATAAAAAAGTATCAAAATGATATATATACAAGCTTACCTTCAGGACCTGGAGTTGACTGTTTACAAGCTGCATCTTTCCAATGGCAGGAAGTGGATAACCTTCCTGTAAACGAGCTGAAAAGAAAAGGCCAACGAGTAAATAGCAATAAACAATGAAAGAAAAATTAGTTTTTCACTTAAAATGCCAACAAGAAATAATAATAATAAAAACTCTTACCATTAACCTTGGGAATGACAGCAAACTTCAAGACTATTGTGAAAATATTGTCAAGGGATGTCACCTGTTGATTTAAATTTTATGATGAGATTTTGAATTATTGCTTTCAGATCAGTTTTTAACACATTTCCTAGTTTCTTACCTGGAATGGTCCCACATAGCTTTTTGCTAAGCTCATATCAATTCTGTTTAAGAGAATTATAGTTTGTTTGTATCAATTCTTTAATAATTTAAGAACATAAACGCATATCCAGCTGTATATGTATAGATTGCAATTATGGCTCCAAAACTCACTTGTTAAGGGTCACGTTTCCTGCCAGTTTGAGCTCAGTCACATATATGTGAGTACTGACACTGCCCTCCTGTTGGTTGAAGGGAAAATCCATTCCATTAAAAAAAAACATACCTCATTTAAATTAATTTTTGGTTATTCCTCCTCCTGGTGTGACTCACCAGATTGAGGACAAAGAGTGGAGATAGTGTGCTGTTGGGCTGAATTGCATAAGCTGTCACTGTACTGCTGGCCTGAACAGTCATGTTGTTCGGTTCAAATGTCATGAGAGGCTCCTTCACTGTCTCAACCAACAACTTCATCATCAGACCAGGATACATTTTCTCAATCTGAAATGACGAGTAATCTTAGAGTAATTTGTGTGTAGCTGGTATTCCCAACGTTATGGGGATCAAAAGTCCTCAGAATGATAATTTTGTAATTTCAGTAAATTTTGACCTTGTGGGGACATTTTTTTTGTCCCCATGAGGTAACAAGATTATAAATTACAGAATTATTCATTTTTTTTTGGAAAATTATGTGAGGGTTAGGGTAAGGGGACAGAAAATACAGTTTGTACTGTATAAAAACCATTAGGCCTATGGAAAGTCCCCATAATTATAGGAATATCAGTTTGTGTGTGTGTGTGCATGTGTTTTGAATTTATTGACTGAACATGTCTAATTATTTTCATACTTGAGGAATGAATCCTCCAAATGTCTTTGTGTTCAGACGAATTGGAGAGCCAGAGGGAATCTGCAAAAAACAAACATATAGTCAATTTTAAAAAGTAGCTGCTC